CCCCCTCATGGAAGAAGAAAGCTGTCATGTTGACAATTGTGACAATGAGAGTTTATCAGAATCAACTAAGCGCTGGATTTTCAAAAGTATGTGAAATATGTAAAGTTCACTGCATAGACTCTTTAAAATACGTCCAAGAGTTTTACACACCGGTCTGTTATTGTGGGGACATTTCCACACCCCTAAACATGATGCAGCACAAAACGAAACGTGATTGGTAGGTTTACCTATCAGTCATAAGGCATCTTGGGCAGGCCTTGGCCATTCAAAGTTGCCAAGGTTCCCAGACCTTCTGCCGTCAGTCTGAAGGTCTGGCTATGTGAGACTACTGATCTCCCAGCTCTTATCCATGTTAGGCTGCATGGGTGGGCAGGGAGTTTTTTGCCCAGAACAGAACCATACTGCCTTTGAGGATAGTGGTCCTGACAAAATTCCATTTATTTTTGCAAATGTTTTCCTTGCATATGCAGACTTTATTGTTTTATCCTTGTCTCAGACACAGACCAGTCAATATTTAATATACAATGAGGCATGACAATGACTGCCTCATTTGTAAAGTAATATCCACCACAATCAACCATTTTGCCCCTAAAAAGTTTTATTTTGTTAGTGTAATTGTTTAACAACAGTCAGTGTCAGTGAAGATTATGCTTGTGATGAAATATGAGACATGTGATGTGTGAAGAAAACAACGGAAATCAATGTGAATATCACTAATTTGACTAATTCATATAAAAGTTGTAATTTGTTATTTTTTTAATATTTATAATCAATATAAATTATATTCTAATAAATTTATAATACATAAACACTGGAAAAAACATTTAAAATGTAATAATTTCTACCACAATTGAACAGTATTTTGAGAAATTTGGTCATGACGGTTCGGGGGGCAGAATTCGCCTATGATGCATGTATGTCCATAAGTGGACATTGTTAGTAGATGTTAAATGATCTTGAGTTTGAAAAGAGTGGCTCAGTGGTAGAGCATTGCGTTAGCAGCGCAAAATATTGTGGGTTCAATTCCCAGGGAACACACATACTGGTAAAAAATGTATAGCCTGAATGCACTGTAAGTTGCTTTGGATAAAAGCGTCTGCTAAAATGCATACAAGAGCATTTTAAGAGAGTTTAAGAAAGCCCACTTGGTCAAAAGTGCCCATATTTGAAGAAACATATAGGCTAAAGACGATCCATCAGACTACACCTCTAAGCATTTTCAATGCACTTGTGAGGAGGAGGAGGAATGGTAGAGGCTTTTAGATAGTGGTAAATAAAATAAATCTGCCCGCAGCATCTGTCTGTGCCTGTGTAAGTCTGGTAAGTAAGTGGGATTCTGGGCCGGGCTCCAGGCTTGGCTAATGCAGGGGGACTGGAGGCCTGCTACAGCACTTCAAGGAGAGCTCCCTAACTACTGTTTTAAAGGAACTGCTGAACTGGCTTTTATTGAGCTGTGCCTCTCGCCTTTGTGCTCCCAATTAAGATGATGAGCTAATGTTTGAATTGCTCTAAAAGTGTAAGCCCCTACTTTCAGGATCTTCATTAAGCGTGGGCTTGAATTGAAAAAAATGTATAGCTAAGCAAGCCTTTACGCTAATTTAATCACTTTTCCTGAGCATCCATAATTAAAGAGACCTTAGGTTATAATAACCTAATAAATCACATAGGCCGGTATTGAATTGATATGTAGAATACCAAGCAAATTGTATATTGGGAGGCAATAAATCCTTTGAATTTCAAGTGAGAACTCTTCCATTTTCTGTGAATGGTAAAAGTATGCAAGTTTGGCATATGTTTTGAATTTGTTTTTGTTTTTTGTTTTTTTAAGCGGATGTTATTGGTCAGAGGAACATTACATATGCCAGTTGAAGATGAACTGCTCCAGAAATGTGCATTTGTCATTAGCTTACCAGCCATATTGACTTTTTCCTCATACTGCTATAGCCATTAAAGTGCCTGATGTTGGAGCGCATTGGTATTTTCAGAGCTGTAAATTTTATGCCTCGAGTTTTATAGCTGTTTTCAGAGTGAATCAAGACAACATATGGCTCCAGGTTCCTGCAAGTCAATTTTCCTTTTCTTGGTATTTCTAAGAACTTGAGGATTCTGTTTCAAGGT